GAGGAAATTGGGAGGGGGGAAATTGAGGAGATGGACAGAAGAATAAGAAGAGAGAGAAGGAAAGAAAGAATGAAAGAGGCGGGGGGAAGGAGAAGAGAGGTGGGGAGGGTGTGGATACAGTCACAAGGGAGCAACAGGAATCGCGACGGAGCGGGGTGCCTCCAGCCCACGAATGCCCGATCTGTGCGGGGGCCCGAAAAAAGGCCACACCAGTTGTCCTCAGGACGAGGGGAAGGAGCCGGGGACTGTCGCGGGAGCCGGGGGGCGGGCGGCGGCGGCCTGGGCGCCCGCAGCGGGCGGGCACCTGATCACGTATCACGAAATGACATTGTGAGCGTTGGCACTATGTCAATTGAGGGCTAGGCAACGCCGGCGATCGGACCCTCCCTCGGGGCTGGCTGGTGTGTGTTTCGCGAGGGCAGCGGTGTCTGGCGAGGCACGTGGAGAAGGGGCCCGCTCTCCGGACCCCATTACCCCCCATCCCCATCGGCCCTGCTTCGCTGGTGTATGGCGTGTGTCTCATCAAGGGTGCTTTATTGAAATGCTCGCTCTCGGGGCGAGAGGAGCAAGAGGACACAGGTAATGTCTGTGTCATTGACACCGGAAACAACAATAACAACCGCATCAAAAAAAACATCGCCATCGAGAGGATGGATGGCGACTAGCAAACTGGGAAATGCGTCCGACTGTGGCGGGAAAGAGAGGGAGAGAGGGAGAAAGATAGGAAGGTGGAGAGGAGGGTGGGGAGGAAGGTGGGGAGGAAGGTGGGGCTGACGCGCATGCACCCACACTCTTGCACATCAACATATGGGTACTTCCTGGCAAAGGCACCGATGTCCCCGATGCAGACGCGCGCAAGCAATAAAATACAACTAACGAAATAACAGGAGGGGAAGGGAGAGGGGATACACCATGCGCTCTAGGACCCTAACCACCGGACATGCGGCGGACACACAAGCACACAGGCACACAGGCACACAGGCACACAGGCACACAGGCACACAGATCCATACACCGCCTTCAGGGGCCCGGTGCGTGCAAGTGTGGGCGACTGAGGGGTATACGATGGATGCACGCGCACATGCTCAGGCGCACATTTGGAAATCCACAGCCGCAGGAGAAGCATGCCTGGTCCCCTGCGTGCGGCGCATTGCAAACTCCCGCCCATATGGCCGACACACGCGCGCACATGGACATCGGGGCTTGGCCCGGCAGAAAGGAGAGGGGATTACCGCGGCCGCTGGCTGATGTACTTGAGGGCAAGGAAACAGAGAGTCCGGAAGAAGACGGTCACCGCAACCAGGAAGATGCCATTGTGCAGGACATTGACGCTGCTCATGGCGTACAACTCCAGGGCCGACTCGCCATCCGGGATGGGGCAGGAAGTCAACTCGCCAGAAGCGTACTGTGCCAATTGCTCCGGCGTCAGAGACTCGAAGCCAGGCGGCAGTTGGCCGTCCATGCTGCCAACCGGTGGGGCTGGGCAATCGAAGGATTGGTCACGGAACTCATTGACCGACAGAGCCTGGAAGGTGAACGTGACGAAGGAGATGTTGCTGAGCCAGCGAATCCCAATCCAGACGGTGTCCATGTTGAAGATGAACCTGCGAAGGGACGAGGAGAGGGGGATGCATCATGTCAATGGTGTGTGTCTCGCCACCACACGGGCAGGGGAAGGCGTGGAGATCAGGCGGCTCGGCTGCTTTGCCATCCAACGAGAGGAATGCATGACATACCCGCAGGGAAGAAGGAACATGGTGAAGAGGAAATTCGCCACGAAGGAGGCCTGCTGGAAGCGCGGGACCATGGAGGCCACACCGACGGCAATCGACCGACTGGCGTAGATACAGAGGAAAATCACAATTTGGAAGGCAAAGAACTGACCTCGGGGGTGAGTGGGTGAGGGGGGGGGGGGGGAGCGAAAGGGGGAGAGCTCGCGATGTCAGGCTTTCAGGCTGGCCGAGAAAGTGAATCTAGAAGAACCACCTGGGGGGGGGGGAGAGGGGGCGAGGGAGAGCACGCTGATTTGGCGTGCGCATGCACACAAGCACACAAGCACACACACACACATACAGGCGCCCGGGGGACTCCGGTGCAGGAGACCAGGCACGCACCTTATCCACCTCCAGATCCAACCCGGCCAGCAGGTAGATCGGGATCGAGTACAGCAAGGAGAAACCGATGTCGAAGGGCAGATCAGCCAAGATACGTGCCATGTAGAAGGGGAACAGCCGATAAAGGCCGTCTTGGCGCTCGGTATAGAAGGTCGGCCGGTCGGCATGGACTGTGGAGTAACAATTGACAATGCCGCCCGCACACACACACACATATATATATATATATATATGCATACGGAGATAGGTGGACGGAGGAAGATGTCCAACCCCATCGGCACATTTGAGGTTGAAGAGCCGAGGAAGCACGCCAAAAGCAAGCGCGAGGGGAAAATCGTGTGAGAGAGGGGGAGAAAGAGGGGCAAAGGAGGGTGTTTGAATGGGAGAGACAGGGGAGCCCCGGCACAATGGGCACAATCTAAACGCACACTTCGCCACCGTGCTCAGGATGACCATGAACGGGAAGAGGGTCGACACGATGTAGCACAAGCCGAAGCGATCCTGCACAGATACCTGGTCACTGCCAAGGGCATAGAAGACCACACCCACGGCCAGGCCCATGGCCAGCGTCTGGCCAAACTCGGTCAACAGCGCCGAGCGAGCCTGCGCATTTGTGTGCGATGGATAAGAGGGCGGCGAGGGAGAGAGAGGGAGAGGGAGACAGAGGGAAAGAAAGAGGGCATGTGCGCGCGTGTCACAAACAGGGGCAGTGTGTTGTGTCGGGAAAGGTCAGCAGGTCGAGTGGTTGAATGTGACCGGGCGCGTGCGTGTGTGCGTGCGTGCGTGTGTGCGCATGCGTGGACAAGTGCATCGAGCAGCATGACCCTCCCCCCCCCCCCAGGCAGACAGCCGGCAGCCGGCCGGCCGCGGGACGTCAAAACCAAACATACCTTGAAGCGGAACATCACGGAACGCAGATACAGCAGACGGAACTGCTCGAGAACCGAGGCCCCGGTCACCGCGCGGAAGTCCTCCTCCGACCCACCAAGGACCTTGGCCGGGGAGGTGTCCTCAAGCGAGGGCGAAAGGTCGGCCATCGGGATGTCCCCACCATCGCCGGCGGCCGCGGACTTGCGCCGCGAGAAGAGAGACCTGCCCTTGCTGCCGTCGGAGGCCGATGCCAGGGCCGCATTGTCGGCCGCCACGCTGGCATCCTGCTCCGAGGCCTGGATCAACCGGAGCTTGGCATCTGCGCGGGATTGCTGATGCAGGGGATCCTCCTCGGGCAGGTGCCCGGTGGCGAACTTGGTGTTGGCCCGGTAGTAATCCACCAGCTTCTTGACCACCGCGCGGGAGGTGCGCTCCCGGCGCTCCGAGCGGAAGTCCACTGTGGACAAGTCGACTACCGGCACCAGAGGGGCATCGGGCATGGGGAGCGGGGCGACAGACGGAGGGAGGGAGGGAGGGGGGGGGGATGAAAGAAAAAGCATAAGTCCATGCACAGGTGGCCAGGCGAGGCCAGGAGCAGCAGGGGAAAGAGAAGGAGGGAGGCCCACAAAAGGAGAGAGAGAGAGAGGCCACAAAGAGGCCGCGGAAGCATGACAAGGGCACCACGTACGGTAATAATCGCAGGGATTGCTGTAGATGGGGCACGGATGCCCGGCCTTGGAGAAGTAGTCCACCACCCGCTCGACTGCCCCGAAGTACACCACCTGGCCCTGGGACAGGATCATCACCTTGTCGAACATCCGGAAGACATCGGCCCGCGGGGCATGGATGGTGCAGAGAACGGTGCGCCCGGCTCGGGCCAAGCCACGCAGAGTGGACACCACATGCCGTGCGGTGTATGCATCTAGCCCGGAGGTCGGCTCATCGGCGAAGAGCACCGCCGGGTCCAGGAGCAATTGCGTGCCAATGGACACACGCCGACGCTCGCCTCCAGACACACCGCGCACGGTGGCCGACCCGCCGATCGGCGTGTGCGCCACATGGATGAGCCCCAATTCGGCGGCCACCGCATCCGCCCGGCGGAGCTTCTCCTCGTCGCGCATGTCGCGCGACATGCGAATGCGTGCCACAAAGGACAGGACCTCGCGCACGGTCAGCTCGGCCGGGAGACGGTCCTCCTGGGCCACATACCCGCCGACGGCTCGAATCCGGGCCGTCGTCCGGGGCAGTCCATTCAGCAGGACATCGCCGGATAGCGAGCTCCCGGCGAACATCCCGCCGCCGGATTGATGCCGCGCGGCGATCACATCCAGCAGCGTGGTCTTGCCCGATCCGGAGGACCCGATGACGGCGCACAATTCCCCCGGCAGGACCGTCATGGAAACGTCGTCCAGGAGCTTGCGCGGGGTCGGCATGCCGCGGCGACCGCGAGTCAACACCGCCCCGATGGCCTGCGCGTCCAGGTCCAGCCCGGGCTGCACGATGTAGTTGAGGTTTCGCACGTCGATGCGCACGGAGCGAGAGCTGGGCTGGAAGACCGGCTCCTCTTCGACCATCTTTGCGCGTAGTGAAAGGCATGGATTTTGGTGAGTGCACGGGGGGGGGGGGAGAGGGGGCGAGGGAGAGCACGCTGATTTGGCGTGCGCATGCACACAAGCACACAAGCACACACACACACATACAGGCGCCCGGGGGACTCCGGTGCAGGAGACCAGGCACGCACCTTATCCACCTCCAGATCCAACCCGGCCAGCAGGTAGATCGGGATCGAGTACAGCAAGGAGAAACCGATGTCGAAGGGCAGATCAGCCAAGATACGTGCCATGTAGAAGGGGAACAGCCGATAAAGGCCGTCTTGGCGCTCGGTATAGAAGGTCGGCCGGTCGGCATGGACTGTGGAGTAACAATTGACAATGCCGCCCGCACACACACACACACATATATATATATATATATATGCATACGGAGATAGGTGGACGGAGGAAGATGTCCAACCCCATCGGCACATTTGAGGTTGAAGAGCCGAGGAAGCACG